GTATAAAGACTATAAAATATATCCAAGAGTTTTACACATCGGTCTGTTATTTTAGGGACATATCCATGCTCCTAAACATGACGTGCACAAAATGAAACGTGATAGGTTGAATTACCTGTCAGTCATATGGCCTCTTGGGTGGGCCTTGGGCATTCAAAGCGGTCATGCTCTCAGACTTTCTGCCCTCAGTCTGAAAGTTTTGGCTATGAGAGACTAGCTGTCTTCAGAAAAGTTTCGCTGGCATTTTTTTTTCGTCTAGCCTCCGTTTTATGACTAAGGTAGCATATATATATATATGTGTTTACCGCAGTAACAGCTATATTACTGCTTTTTCATAAGCGCCACCTGCTGTCAAAGAGGGAATCTGTATGTTCATTCATCCAGTTTGACATTTTTGTTTAGACCAGTTATATACAGGGTATATATAAAACACTACATTTTCTTTTTTCGTATTCATCATCGTCACGCACAGAAACCTTGCACACAGAGTCAACAGTTTTTCATGAAGGACGAAAGTTTTGGAGGCAGTGTGTAAACGTGATTGACACAATGTGAGGCCGTATTTATTTTCTAATGTGCAAATATTTCGGTCAAAAATTTCGGACTCGGTGTGCAAAGACCTTTATTCATTAGTTAGGCTGAAATGTGAAGTGAAATGGAATGTGAATGAAAACTTTTTTTGGTCAAAACTTTTATTATTTGAACGGTAAATAACATTGCTTTATTTTAATATCAGAATTTTCCTGTTTTATCTGCTGATTCCAATAATCATTTTAATTTCCCCTTTTTTAGCCAGTCCGGAGTTTGAAGGTAGGCCTCATGAAGCACATATTTAGGTGAAGTGTACAGTTATGTAACTAGATTATAAGATTTAAAAAAAAGTGGAAAAACCTGTTCAAGAATAGAACTACATGAATAATACACAAGTCCTTCTACAAGTAGCCTACTGTAAGTACATGGAAGGTTTCCATTTCTTTCCACTAAGTTTAACTGACACTGCAGCATAGTAAGAACAAATACATGCCCTTCAACACACTTTAAACAGCTCTGATGTGTGTGTTAGTTTACTCAACAGCTCTTAGAGCAGAAAGGACTGTACAAAATAAACAGAACTATAATAAGTCATATTTCACTTCTCTTGACATTTAGGACATAAACAGTAGACTTTTTCGGCCGTTTTGTTTGCACTGAGGGGCCTGGTTTCTAACAAAATTTAGTTTAACATTAACAATCACCAGTCGTCATCAAATTGAGAGCAAATATTGACAATTTGGAGTAACAATTGGTGTGTAATATGTTTATTGTTGGTTGAATAGAAAACAAAAAATTACATTTATTACAGGATCAAAAAACACTTCACATAAACACAAAATTACACATTTCTAGCAGCTCAGCTTAAATAATCCTTTAAAATCGCTAATATTTCATGACGATGAGGAGGAGGAGGATGAAGATTGAGGTTCAGAAAATAAGTGCTACAGTTGTGTAAAGTGAGAACAGTTGAATAAGATAGAGGAAAAACACAAAGAGACGCTTCATGACTGACTTTACTGACCTGTTATGGTAGTTTAGAATGAGAAATGACTGTTAATTGAAGCCCTATCGCCTGTTATCAGGCTTTACAGCATGTGTCACTATAGTACATGTAAGCACCAGGTGGGACGGACACTCTCCAGACACAAGAGGTCAAAGCGCTTCACCCTTCCACCGACCCCTAGAGTGCATATATATGAGAAATGTACTTAAACGTAAGTACAGTTTTTGTTGTGTTGACAACTGTAAACGATATAATTGAGAAGCCTGGTGTAAATGTAGTTTAGAGTATTTTGTGTGCAGGCACATGGTACATCAGAAAGGGCAGAGAGCGGTCTGAAGTATTGATCCGAAAGCTAAAGAGACCTTTACTATGTTTACGCACCAGTTCAACATTTACAGAAAAATAAAGTTTATTGCGTCCCCTAGATTAAATTCCTTCTGCAATATGCAGGAACACAAACAGATAAATAAATCGACTATCTGGCCTTTACATTGAACTGCATTTTGAAATAAAAATGCAGCAAGTGGACGGGACAAAAAGTCAGTGATGTGAGGTAAGAAAAAGTGAAATCCTTATTTTAGTAGGAAAACCGCCATTGTGAAATAGTTGAGAGTGAGGTCAGTAAGAGAATCAGGATAGGGGAAAAAAAATATTTAAAAAGTAAAAAAATTATCATGAAATTGAATCATAAGTAGATTTACATATCAGAGTGGTTGGGCAAGGTTAAAAAATAAAAATGAGTTATCCCTAAGGCCAAAAGTGTAAAATGCCAAGTCAACTTACATATTCAAAAAGTAAATAGGGTGAATTTTGCACTGACTTTAATTAAAAGCAAAACCAGAATAAAAGACAAGAGAGAGAGACAGACAGACAAACCACAGTCCCTACATACAAATTTGGCAGAAACTGGACAAAATTATTAGTGGAAGACACAAGCGGCGTGAGTCAGACTGCAGGAGTCTGTATCTATGACAAGAACATCTGTAATGAGTGTGAATTTTACTCGGTTATTTTGCATTATGACATTTTCATAAATTAAGCATTTTCCTGCACTATTATTACTGTAATGCAAAAAAAAAAAAACATCTGATTAATGTAATGTGAAAAGTCATATTAATTGTACATATTAGTTGTAGTACTGCCTTTATGCAGATTTTAATGTTCTTGATTGTCCTATCATAACAAACCATACATCAAACCTCAATTAAAAAAAACTGACCCTTATGACTGGTTTTGTGGTCCAGGGTCACATATCACAATGCATATACTGTATGTGTGTGTGTGTGTGTTTTCTCTTGAGATTCACCCAATTCACCTATTCAGACTCCAATGCCTTTATCAATAAAATGTGTTGTATAACAGATTTATGAATCCAGCGTGCAATAATATGCAGACGGGTGATGAAAAATTAAAAACTTCTGCACTCCCTGAGTTTCTACAAGTCTAAATATGTCTGTCTCTCTCATTCTTCATCCCTCACGCATATAAAACACATCACTCTCAGTCAGAAATGGCATGACCAAAACTCTAAGGAAGGATGATCATTTGGATGAGGATTCATTTGCAGTGCCTGCTATATGTGATGAGCACTGATAATCACATGCAGATCAGGTAGAGAGACATAAACGACAGGAACCATGGCTTTGAGGCTCAAAGATTCGCACTGCAGTCCATGAATCTGCACAAACCACTGTAGGAGGCAAACCAATACGACTTAAGTGCACCAGGGTCTAATATTTATCAGTATGAACCCATAAAACAGGTGTCTGAGGTATGCACGATTTCGTCTTTTTCCTATAAAGACATAGATTCTTCGAAAACAAGCATCTTTAGTCACCACATAACATCATCACACAGTCCTAGAACCCGAAGAGGTGTCTTGTGGTCTAGTTGCTTTAGTGTAAAAGCGCCGTCTCCTGGTTAAACCTACAGGACGGGGTCGGTTGAGGCAGTTTGGTTAGGATCGTGACCATCTTTTGTTTTTTAAACAGGCCATCTAATGAGTTCTGAGGAAAATGTACCAGAAACAACGTTAATTAGCTCATACGGACATGTCTCCATGACAACACGACAGAAACTGGTGGTTAAAGGGCTTCTGGGAAATAGTTGACAAATAGACAGATGAAAGTGCAGAGAGAAACTACAGCTCTGTTCCAAATACTAGTGCGCTGCCTTGATGTCTACGCCATAAATTAGCATCCTAGCTCTACATAGGCAAATAGTAATAGTAATTGATTTCAATAGTTAGATGCTAGCATGTTGCTAAGTCACTCTAATAAGCATGCACACACAAATGTAGGTTAAAATAGTCTATTTTTAATCAAACTGAACTATTTTTAATGTATCATCAATATTTCTCTTGGCTGAATTGTTTCAGCTCACTAGTTTTTGGAAGAGACTCAGGAAAAGCTGCTCTCACTAAACATGTGAGACATGTTAATATAATTGGCTGATACAAAAACACAAATTATCAAAAAGAATAAGCACAGCTTCAGATGTCACATAGTAATCGATTAATGCTCAAAAACATGGCCCACTTTGTGTAATACTATGTTGTTTTGCTTACAGCAATCAGTTCTTTCCATTCTTAAACAGAATCACAGATGTGACATTTTTATAGTGTCGTCATTCAGTTCAGATCGCGCTTTGATTGTCTTCGTAAGTCCATTCAACTCGATTTCAAATGCCAGATTTGTTTTTAATATAACAAACCATACACAACACATATAACCAAAATATAATTTCTTTAAAAAATACAATAAACGGGAGTCAAATGTGGAAAAAAAGACATATATAGATTTAAAAAAAAATAGATGATGTAGTGATTTTGTCCTTGATTGGATCTCAGGAAAACTGTCAAGAAATATCTAGGTCATATTTTACCCCAAAAATAAGAAATGATATTTTGCATAAATGGTGGACTGAAATAAAAGATGTAGGATTTACTTTAAAACAATTTTCACTCAGAAATTGCTAGTAAATTTCACAAATAATACTTTGCAACAAGTACCAAAATGAATTAATTGTGCAATTAAGACTGAAATAATATTTTCTTGTAAAAACGTCTCCAATAATCTCCAATAAAGTTTCATTTACAGCTTTGATTTTTTTTTTACATTGTGGTATTTTATACTGATTTATGTGTCTGGATTTGATTACTTTACTGTATTGTGATGATGAACAAGATTGTTTTCGCATTATATAAATTTGGTGGAAATGTGCATATTGTTATAAAACTAAAAAGCAAAAAAATATATATATTAATGCAAAATATCATTTCTATTTATTTTCCTTTGGCATTTTTCACGAGATTCACCCCTTTTATGAATATTTGAATATTGATCCTTTAGTTTTCATCTGTCTCAATGGTCATGGCACAGTTTGTGAACTCCTTTCTGCATCTGATTACTGAACTAAATTTAGCGGATATTATTAAGGACAGAGGCTTAGCTTTTTAAAAAAAAAATCATAAAAATTATTCCTCGTTTAGTTTTCATTTCTACATAATTCATAAGCGATGTACGTTATGATAAGAAAATCACGGCTGAGGTTATCAAAGTCGTAGCAGAAAGTGCAAGAAGAAAGACGGATTTGTCTCATAAATGTTTCCGAAATCAATTCCATGGAGGATTTAAAAAAAAAATTGTATTATGAAAACATCTAAAGCTTACAAATCTGATTTGCATAATCTCGACAATAAACTATCAAGCTCAATGAAAACAGCACTTTTCTCTGTGCTGGTAATGCTACTCTCTCACATCAAATTGAAGTTTCCTTTATAAAGGTGCTAAAACGTTTGCTGTCCTAATTTAACTGATGGCTCCTGCACTACCTGAGCTCTCCGTTCAGATTCTCATGAGAAACGTGAGCAGGAGGTGATTTCGCCAAATCTGCATGCAGAAGTTGTTCAGTCACTCGGGAGCCGGTGGAAACAGCAGCGCGGGCCACTGGAGGAGGGTTTGGGCTCTTGATGGATGATCATGTCTCCTCTCCAGAACAGCAAACGAGCAGGGGGGAAAGCCTTGAGACCTCGAGTTTGATTAGAGCCAAGCAAAGAGGAAATACATCACACACCATCTTGACACACACTCACGTACACACGCCACAAGCAGTGCTGGTGAGATGAATCCCTGCAGAAAGACAGAGAAACAACAGACGTCACATACTCAGCTGGTTTGCCAGTTTTTCATGTCGCACATCAAATATTAAGCTTGAGTAACCCTTTATCTATACTAGATGACAGAAATGTAACCCTAGATGTCCACACACAGTCAGGGTCCAAAATATTTTTTTTTGCGAGAGAAAAGAGAAAATCTCAAACCATAAAAATTTCAATGCATGCATGAAACTTGCATTTTTTTGTCAGCTTGGTGAAATGTAAAGTAAATCTCTGTCTGTGACCAATATTTACCGAGCTTTGATGACTGATGATCCCAAAAAATAAAAAAATAGTTAAAAGTTCACTATTAAAAAGAATAGCTGAACATAAGCTCACAAATATATTGTTTACAATGATTACTGCCTTGAGTTATTATTTTGGAATGAATGTAAAATGCTTAAAAACACTAACCTATTGAGATTTATACTTGGATGTAATAATATATATTATTATTCGACTATATTTGTCGAAAAGCAAAAATCACAAACCATAACAATTTCTAAGCATGAATTAAATTTTTATTTAATTTTTTATAAAACGGATAGTTCCGGTCCTTGATTCTGATTGGCTGAGCCACGTTCGAAGCTGTTGTAAATTACTCTACAAACATACACCTTTGTTTACGTTTGTGTGTTGCTCGGCAACCACTTTGTTGCAACCACAACTGATTCTGAGGAACTACATTGTTTGGTGGAAGAATAATGTTTTTATTAATATCATTACACTTTATTTGCTCTGTTTTATTTTGTGAAACCTTACTACTCCGCTTCGCGTCGTGCCTAACAACGCCCCTTAGCTGTTATAAACTCACTGTAAACCACGGCTTCTTGGGGATTATTGCTTTACTATACACTGGAGCCCAAAAGTTAAAAATCTGGGATTCAAAACCCAGAGATAAATTTAAAAATTAAAATTAAATAAATGTAAAACAAAAAAAAAATACTATAAAGATGCAACATAAACTACCTTTGTGAGGCTGTGGGCTTCATATGTGTGTCTCCATGTCTGTGTATCCGGGCAGCATGTCTCCATTAGAGCAGTTCTTCAACATCTTGTCCATGCTGGGGTCGGTGGCCTCTTTTCGTCGTCTTTGCATGCGCTGGTGCACCAGAGGTACAAAAAACATCACAATACCCCCCACTATCGGAGGAACACCAGCCAGATAAAACGCCACGTGGTAGTTTCCAAAATAGTCGTGAAGAAGTCCTGAGAAAGAAGACAAGACATAGAGAAAGAACATCTGAGAGATGAGACAGCATTAACAACGCAGTTCATTTCTGTAGCATGATGTATTTCCAAGTGAAAAAGAATATTCAATGAGGGAAAAGTGCAGGCACTCAAGTTCAGCCTGAAGAGGATTTTTTTTTTTGCATCATGTGCATTGATTTCTTAATCTTGTTACATGATTTATTTAATTTATCTCTTGCACATCAGAGTCAGACACTTTTGTCAATTGTTGTGTGTGTGTGTGTGCGTGTGTGTGTGAAAATTAAAAACCAAAAAATAAATAAAAAACACACGAAAGATTTACTACTGAATAACATACACTCATTGTTCACAATAAGACCTGGATGAAAGTAAATGGAGTCTGTTTTGATTTCATGTTGACTTTAAATAAAAAGACTAAAGAATGGAACTGATCCAATTCAATGGAGACTCCCCGCTAGGACGGCCACATTCATCTTCAAATGCTCTCGATTTCAAAATCCTTCTCTAGGAATCTCAATGAGGCTTGCAATCTGGAACACATCTGAAGCAAAACAACTATGAGCTATTTAGACTTTGAAGACTTTGGTAAGATGCTCCCCAGCCTCCTTTACAGAAGATATAAGATCACTTGAAACTTAAATAAACATTTAGAAGTCAGGTCGCGGATCCAAGTATGTGAAATAACAGTATATGACAGCCAATCCAAACCTAGTTGTAATGCCCCTGCTGTGAAGGCAACGCTTTGAAAATAGACCCTACAAATGATGCATCACGTTCTCGAATGAAGACTCTGCATTCCTGAAACCAATCCAGAGTTCAGACAGGTAACGTATTCTGTAAATGAACCTTGAGACCTGAAAGTATAAGGTTCATTTATTGGAGTACAGATGGAGCAGATGTTCTGGTGGGTCTAATTCTTCAAAACGAGTCTGCGGAACTGGAAACATATGGAGACCGTCGCTGAACAAGAGCATTTAAGTCAACAGTCCAAACTAAATGTGCTCACAGGGAGACCTTGGAATTTACCCTCCGAAATAAATCTCATTCCTGTCCACCGTACCAGAAACTGGAAAAACACTTAGTCTGTTTGTGTGTGTGCGAGTCTTATCTGGGGAACGCGGCCAAAATCAGCATGCTGGCTGATTAAATTATGTTTTCAACATATTTATCTACAAGTTTTGTGTATGTGTGTGTACATTTTTCAGTAAAAACTAAAAATGTAATTAAAAGAAAATGTTTTATATATATATATATATATATATATATATAAATAAACATAGTATATAAAATACATTTTATATAAAAATGTATTTTTATATGGACTATG